TCGCCCCCGGCCGGCGCGTCCCGCATCGCTGCCGGGGCGCGCCCGCCTGCACCCCCGCACCCCCGGGGCACCCGCCGCGCAAAGCCGCGGGTTTCCCCTGTGCAGCCACGCGAAACGCTGAGCGATCGGATGCCGACGGCAAGATGCTTTTTTCGTGTGGGTTTTTCTCCACATTAGCGGCCCGAACCTGTATTCTTTGCCTCGAAGGAGCTTCAGGTTGCCTAGGACTGCAGGATGAGCGCATTGCATGTTTTCCAAACAAATGCAGTGGCGTTTGCTTTTTGATGGGCTTACAGGCAAAATTTAGGATTAGGACCTTCGCGGTGCAAAGGCTGGGCCCATCGCTACTGCTGGTGTAAAATAAAATGGCCGAGAACAACACTGGCCAAGTGGTGTCATTTGCACAGCACCGTGGAGACATCTCAGCTAGACGCCTCCCCTGCATGCTGGCTGTGCCCTTCGAGCTGTGAGTACCATCAACTGCTTAACAGATCATCAAAACTCCCATATATATACCACCTCAAGATTTATGGCAGGCCTAGCACAGGTACACCCAGCTTGTGCTTCCTGCTCAGTGCCAGTCTGCAGGTGAGGTTCAGCTGGTGGCCCGGTGCAGAGCGTGGCTGTGACCGCACCGCCGCCGCGCAGCCCTGCGCCAGCGCTGGGAGAGGTGCTGCCGCAGCCGCCTGGGACTGGGTCACGCTCTCGCCTCCCATCGCACAACGGGCTCCAGGTGCCCAGCATGCCAGCGCGGGACTGCTCGGCTTCACTCCACCTATCCTGAGTTACAGCTCTTTGTCTCCATTTTACATCCCCGTTAGAAAACCTAAAAATAGATGGTTGGAATCAATCCTATTGCAGTTTCTCAGATGACTGTCAGGAATTGGCCTGATCTCCTAGAGTCATTCCTAAGGCAAACTCCTAGTTTTACATCCCCATATTTGGCTTTTGTTTTGTTTTTAAGCAGGGAAATCTAGTCTGTGTTTATACGCTAGAGCAGTAGCTGGAATGATATCTTTACTTTTCACCAGTGCTTACACACATGCTTTTTTAACTAGAGTTTTCCTTATGATTGTTAATCCTGAAGCAGGAATTTCCTATTGCATTCCTCGCAGCAGGAGAGCAAGAGGGAGAGGCTGCTCTTTCTCTAGCAATATCCTTTTCCACCCTTCCTGTTTATATAGCATTTTTGTTCAGCGGGATGAAGCTGTCTGACAGACAGTGACTTTGCCCTAGCTATAGCTCCTTGCTTTCCATATGTTTAACCTGGTTACAGCCCGCTTGTGTAGCTTTTCGGGACTGCTTTTCCTTCACCTCCTGGCTGGAGCTGAGGTAGGGCCAGTGCCGGGGCTCTGACGGGACACGGCTGCTTCCCTGCTGCACCCAGAGCTGCACGGCTGTTCTCCAAGGCTGGGACACACTGGGAAAAGGACAAGAAGCAGGTTAAAACCTCTCCCTCTGGGAAGGAATAGAGGCATTTCCAAGACACAAATAGCTTGACAGACCAAAGGGGAGTCTCAAAACACTGGGTTTTCCAAAACCTCCCTGGCCAACCTTTAGTGAGTAAGAAAAACAACGGATACTTCAGTGCCCTGTTCCTCTATCTTCATTTATCTGATGGGAAGTTGAGGCACGTCCTGGTTCACAGCTTTCACTGTTACCTCAGGAACAAAAAGGTGGTTCTCAGAGGTGCCGAGTCCATGCAGCCTGACTTACGAGTCCACAGGCAGCGGCCCTGAAGTGCAAGAACCACGGGATTTCTCCCTGCCAAGAACAGAAGTGCAAGATGCAATGTCAGCCTCCTTCTCGCTGGAACTGGTGACGGTCTGGGCACTGATGTCACTCAGAACAAGCTGGCTCAGCACTTTCCCCAGCCCCTCAGAGGAATGGAAATGAAACAATGAGCCTAAATGAAGGAGGTGCTTTTCTCAGTGTCTAAACGGAGCACTTCCACCAACCACCTTCATGCTGACCACAAAACCTACGCTAAAGCAGCGAGGACAGCTGACCCCAGCCTGGTTCTCTACTGACAAGGCAGAAAGCTGAACTGCTGCATCTCAAGGTCATCTGCAAATATGGTTTACCCAAACAGTGACAGCCTGAGCCCTCAACAGCATTTCGGTGCCCAGCTTTCACTGGTGTCCCACTGCAATTTGAGGAGAATCCTGCACTCCCACAAAACACATACTCTGTGTTTTCCAGTGCGTTCCTGGGTATGGCGAAGAGGATCTGGAAAGCAAACATCACGTTAGCTGTGATCCTTCTGAGCAGGAAAACACCACCTGAATTCTGGCCTCCTGAACGCAGAAGGAGGTCAGATGGAGTCTCACGTACTTTTAAGGACTGCTTGCTCTCAGTTGCTCTGGCTCACCTTGGGTATTTCCAGAAGATATTCCAGAAGCAATTTTCTGGTAGATCTGGATTTCACCCTAGATTTTTGCAGGACAACTGATCTAAGAAACTGTATGGTGCAAAAAGTAAATGCCAAAAAACCCAGAGAAAATAGCTACCATTACAAGTACCTAACTGATGGGAAAAACAACTATGTACATGTTCTCCATATGTAAAATACAATTTATTGTATTTAGGCCATTCATAAGTATCAACACAATGTAGTACGTTTGAAACAAACCTCTTACCAATAAATACTACCTAAACATTAATATTAAGCTTTTGATCAAATGTGTACAGTGTATTGACTCAATATTGCACAGTGAGCTCTATATGACATTTCCATAGTGCTTCAGTTTGTTACAGGGATAGTTTGCCACAAATATTGCAAAGCATCAGAGTTGACTTTTCCAAGTGAAAACAGCTGAATTATTTCATTAGGGACTGAAGGCTGATACAAATGACAGTGTCCTAGGTTAATTGGTTATGGATTCATGGACCCTAATGTTTTCATGCATGAGGAGACTTTGTTTCTAATACAATTTTTATAGAATTGCAAAAAAGTCCCACTTGCAAACAGAATGAGGATATTATCATCAAACTGGTGTGAACAGCCAACTCCAGTGATCAGTGAGCTTGTGAGCAAGCTCATTCCCGTGAGCTTGTTTTCTCTTGTTTCAATCTAAATATAAATCGTATCTTTGATCTTTTCAGAGATGTATCTCACCACTTGCATTTCAAAGGCCAGACCGTGCAAGCCCCCAGCATTACTCCAGCACTTTGCTCCCTACATGCCTCTGCTCAGGTTAGACTCAGTACCCGGCAGTAGGAGCAGAGGCCACACACTCTAGTCTCAGTAGTTTTCAATGTATAAATGCAGATGTAATTTCCCAATAGTTCTATAATTAACTGTATCTCAGCTTTATCTGGTTAAGTCTTAATTCTACAGCATCAGCTCCGCATGGGGGTAGTCCTGCCGGTTTGTATTGCATTACCATGCTCACACAGAGGGCTGGGGGCTGCCGGCAATGGGGCCGGCTGTACTGCTTCCCTGAAACCCAGCGGCTCCTGGACCCTATGGCTTGCAGGCTCTGGTGAGCATAGTGTCAAACGCTGGCAGGACTGTGGCTCACAGCAGGTTTTCAACAGCTCACTGTTGTTCATTCTCAAGTCCAACTACGACAAAATTATGTCCGCACCAGTGGGAGATTACTGTTAGAGTAAGGACTGCACCATTTGGCTTGTAAGGTTTGACCCGCATTTGCATGAACTTACACTGCTCGGACATTGCAGGAGGACCTTAAAATGGGCATATACTGCCTTAATACACATTTAAGCTACGCTGCCCTGCCGAAGTGGTAGGAGCTGCTCAAAATGCAAATAAGAATCATGATCGTAGAACGACTATGACTGACTTGGAAAAGATTTGACCATCAGTATAATGGTGCTTAGTGCTTAGCATGTCGTTTCCCTTAGTGCTTAGCATGTAGTATTCCTTTAAGTGAAAGAAAATTCACTCACCAAGTGATACGATCAAAAATTTCTAAGAAACTACTGGTTAAGTATTACCTCATGATTATGTAAATCATGTTTATATCCCTCATCTTTGCAGTTTATCATTTTGTATATATTCAGATTCTTTATATTCAGGTAACAGAGATGAAATACTTATTTCTATCTAAAAAGACGGTAGGAAAAAACAGGGATTGAAAGGATTCCTTTTTTGTACAAAAAATACATTTTTATGACAACAGCCACTACCTTCACAGTAGGTCCTTTGCTCCTCTACTTACGACCAAGGTTCAGTCATCCATAACACCATCATAAAGTATCAGAATTGTTTTTCTTTCCACTTTTCAACACCAAAATTCAATGCACTGCTATGGAATGTTTCCAAAGTTTTATGCTACATCCTGATAATCAGGAATATTTCTTTTCTTTTTTTTCCTTTTTTTTTAACTTTAAAAAGGAACTCAGTTCATGCAAATAAATACATAAAGTGCACTGAAATTACTCAATTCTATGATACAGATGACTTCAGAGAAAAGTCCCTTATAATTATCTAAACTAGTTCTAATAAAAGAAGATAGTTTCAAAACAGAATTAAAAACATTTCATTTAACTACAAGTTGATGTTTGCTATGTGTTCAAGCAGAGTACGTTTTCTACCTAGCTGTGTTAATCTGTGGGTTCAGTGTCATTCTTTTGTAGTGTAGCAAATATTTGAATTTGAGGGGTGGATATTTTTCTGCAGTTCTTGTAGTCCAGGGAATCAGTCTTCATTTGATTCTGCATACAGGATCTCAGGTTAAGCCCAGATCTGCAGAGAGAGAGTTGAACAACCGTTTATGACACTGACTGTTCTATCAAATGGTTAATTAAAATTTGGCAAGGCAGTCAGATTAGTGGTACAGTGTATCAGCAGCAATGATACTATTTAACCCGAAAATTCAAAATTCCCTTAACAGTTCAGCTAGCACTTTGTGGAGATTTTTTTAATTTGAATTTTCTGTTCATGTTTTACCCTGTGGTTTTATATCCTCGTTAGTCCCTCTAGAATCAATTTTCCTGTAACAACCCTTCCCCCTTGCCCCCTTTTTTTAAACAATCAAACAAAGAAAGTGTGCTGGTTTTGGCTGAGGTAGAGTTAATTTTCTTCAGAGTAGCTAGTATGGGGCTATGTCTTGCATTTGTGCTGAAAAGAGTGTTGATAACACAGGGATGTTTTCGTTACTGCTGAGCAGTGCTTACACAGAGCCAAGCCCTTTTCTGCTTCTCACCCCACCCCACCAGCGAGTGGGCTGGGGGTGCACAAGGAGCTGGGAGGGGACACAGCTGGGACAGCTGACCCCAGCTGACCAAAGGGCTATTCCACACCATATGACGTCATGCTCAGCATATAAAGGTGGGGGAAGAAGAAGGAAGGGGGGGGACACGTTTGGAGTGACAGTGTTTGTCTTTCCAACTAACCGCTACGTGTGATGGAGCCCTGCTTTCCTGAAGATGGCTGAATGCCTCCCTGCCGGTGGGAAGTAGTGGATGAATTCCTTGTTTTGCTTTGCTTGCGTGTGCGACTTTTGCTTTACCTATGAAACTGTCTTTATCTCAACCCACGAGTTTTCTCATTTTCACTCTTCTGATTCTCTCCCCCATCCCACTGCAGGGGAGGGAGCGAGCGGCTACATCGTGCTTAGTTGCCGGCTGGGGTTAAACCATGACAGGAAGAGGTACCCAAAGCAGATGCTCCTAGCACTTACTCGGAGAGTGTGGTCCCAGGAGCCGGAGCAGAATGCCGTCCCATCAGGAGAGACCCGCAAGGTGCTGACACGATTTTCGTGTCCAAACAGAATGGATACACGGGACCCTTTCAGCACATCCCAGACATTTATGGTGTAATCGTTATAGCCTGCAAACAGTAGGCGACCTACAAAGACAATGAGATTTTACAAAGTGAGGTCTTAAGTAGGTAACAGGTCTTGACTGCAGCAAGGGCCTTCTGCAGGACATTCATCACCCAGTGAGCCACAACCCAGCCTTCCCGTGCCACCCTCTGCACACAGCGAGCCCTGACCACGGCTTCCTCCAGGCTAGCTGTGCTCCTGTTAGACACCCCTGCTCCACTGCTGAGCTAGCCATACTGAATGCTGAACCAATTAACATTTACTAGTTAAAAATATAGTTAAAATTGAGTTAAATTATATAGAATCTGTTCAGTCATTAGAGATGGGGGGTGACTCCAAATCATGACAGACTGAAGAGCACTTCAACAGCTAAGGCAGGGTAATAATATTTGGCTGAGACGTTACGCAAGAAGTTGAATACAAATGGTTGAATGATTAGTAGACAATTTGGTAAGTGATTCATTGTCCCCAACAGGACAAGCTGTGGTGCTTGTGACCATGACAGAGATATTCCCCACACAGGGTGACTGGAGGAGCTCTGCATTTGTGCTGGGGCAAGAGCGAGAAGACTCGAGCTCATGTCTCTGGACCTGTAGTGAAAAATGGCAATGTCTCTGTCTTCATGCTCCTCTAACATACTTTTACTATCTATTAATCATTTATTATCTTTTTATAAACTATTTATGTAAGTGCACTTAATAGTCTAGTTACATTTCATGTTTCCTTTGAAATGTTTTTAATCATTATTGTGAAATTCTAGCCCAGCTGTAGTTAAAGGCAAAATATTTCCTGCCTTCAGCAGGGCCAGGAAAATACTTTTCATTGCTACAACGAAGCAATAGCCAGCTAGGTTATTTAAAGACTAATTATTTTTACAGAGGCAAAAAAAAGTCTTCCATGCATTAAATGTTTCTTTTGGTACTTAGTATTACTTTTAATAATTTTTAATAACAAATACTTTATGAAATTAAACTGGCAAAATTTTACAGTTCCCCTCAAATCCCAACACTAAGATAACCTCCAAAGTTCAGGTCTCACCACTAAGAGAGAAGTCCACACTGGATGCTCCAAAAATGATGCTCTCTTTGGAATAAATTGCTACTTCTCTGTCTGCACGAAGGTCATATAAACGACACTAGGATTAAAACAAAACCAACACACATGCCTCAGTAAAGGCAGCATTGAAAAAATGGGATTGGGAAGGACTGCAGCTTAACAGGCATCACGGGAAGCGGCTGCTTGGCTTCTTTCCTTCTGCTATTTCTGCCCACTGTAACTGGGACTCCTCTGGAGTCTAACAGGCTTCTAAGCAACACAAGATTGTTTTGTATAAATTAAGTGAAGAACTTGCTTTTCCAAAGCACTTCTCTAAGCCTCCTGCTTGTCCTCCTATAAAGAGATGAGTGGTAGGTTTTGGACCATGGCTACCCACTGAAAGTCCCCCCACCCTCTTGCTTCCCCACTGTGGTTTCCTACATATTAGGGCATCCTGCTGCTGGGGAGGTGCATGGGAAGACAGTTTCTAAAAACAACAGTTTAGCCATAGCTGCAGTCTGGGAGACAGAGGATTAAATCTCTAGTCATCTTTGAGAACACGGACCACACGGCACAGTGCTCAGACAGCCCCTGGGCACAGGGAAGCCTAGATGGTAGTCATTGCTCTGAGCAAGACACGGTAGCAAACAGCCCCTGCCCTTCCGTGAGGCAAGGCTCCTCTCTGTCTGGAAAACCTACGTGAAAATAATTCCAGTGAAATAATACATTTTTATACAGATCTTTCATTTCCATTTCTCATGGAAAATCCCCAATCACCTCTACAACCTGCATTTCCCGTTTTTATCATTTGCCAGCATACCTAGGCTTGTTTAACATGGAAATAACGTATAGACAGACCAGAGTTCATTGCCATGCAGAAAGGCAGTCCGTTAGCCCTGAAATCAAAATGCACTTCTGAAACTATTTGAACTGAAAATCTTCCTCAGTGAGTTAAGTTTAAGCAAACACTGGCCAGATGGCTTGGCTAATATTAAGACGTTACTAATGAAAAATGGTTGATAAGCCTCCACATAAAGGAGAGGCTGTTTCATTTGCAGAGCAGTGGGGAGCTGCCAGGTATGTGAAGTCCAGGTCTCCCAGTGCTCCACGCTGATGAATAATTTCATCAGACTGTCCTGATAGGGAGTTGGGGCCACCACAGGTGACAGCACTGCCATGTGAGCACGCTTTTATGGTTTCCCTCCAGACAGTCAGGATTATCTTCCTTGAAATCCCTAAGTATATAAATCAGGTCAAGGATACCAGTCAGTGTATCAGTCTGTAACGCTGAAAACACCAACGTCTTCATTTAAAGAATGAAGTGGATGGAAACTGCCAAAACTTCTCTCAAAAGTACAGAGGTGGAATTTCCCATTCTCCTGCTCAAGTCGTGAGTGTCAGGAATAGTTAAGAGAGAAAAAACCCATCAAATAAATTAATAAGCACAGGAGCCCAGAGCCTGTGGTACTGGGCATAAAAAGAGAGTGCTCTCATTGGAATTTAATGATGGACAATTTCTCCATCTCACTCCCTCCGCATCTCAAGTGCTCACAGTACCGCATCCGAATGTGCGGAAAGGCACTGGGCTCACCACAGAGCTAGAGGTATTAATTTATAATTGCAGCTTTTAAGACCCAAAAGTGGTGTATGTTCTCTCCAGAAGAGCCTTGGAAGGTCTCCACATCCAGTGAAGACAAAGGGACTGTTTCTATTGAGTTTAGCTAGCATTGGAGCAGACTCAGAACACGCTCTGAGGGCAGAGAAAGAGTCTTCACCCTCATGCAACCTGGCGTGATGTTTGAATAAACAGGAGAAACAAGGTGCCAGGTGCCTCCCAAACATCTGCTCTCGAGTTACACTTAACTGTCAGCTCAGTCCCTGCAGGGCTGTGGTACGGGCAGAGCCTGGTCCCCCATGGGGACCCACCAGCTGCAGCAAGAGCCACCAGCCATGTGCATCACTCAGGGGCCCGAAGGCACGAGGAGGTAAGTGGCATTTTGCATACAGTGTGCTGACCAAAATTACCTGTCAATACATACTGTGCCCCTCCTAGCAGATTGCTCAGAGACAAGCAAGAGCTAGTAAGAGCTATCGTATCATCTAGGGTGACCTCGATGCGGTGACTCATGGCAGTGAAGAGTGTTGGCAGTGAGTCAGGCTGACAGGGAGGAGATGTACGTGGCCAAGGCCACCCTGGGGCTATGCTCTCAGGATGCACAGGGCTGCGGAGGCCAGCTGACCGGGTCTGCCCAGCTCAGTGCTGAGCCCCAGGGCCCTCTGCTTGCCAGGACATGTGCACTCATGTGCAGGCTCCCTTCATGCCCTTGCGCTGTCCTGCTCCTTCTGACACAAGCTGCAGCATTTCATCTGGTTCCTCCCATGCTGTGACCAACAACTATATGAAGCCAGATCTCTTCCAGTAAGACAACTAATTCTGATCATGAAACTTCAAAACATAGAAAATCTGAAACGACTATTTGGACAGTACCTCACGTAGAAAAGTTTGCAGAGGTGACCTACAAAGTGTTACTAGATTTTCCCTATAGCATTATATAGAGTATTTTATATATATTATATTATAGCATTATTATTTCTGCAACTTTGGTGTCACAGGCCCAGTTTAGTCACTTGAAGTCCTCTGTGGATGTGACCTAGTCTTTTACCAAAATCTGACTTGGGAAGTAACAGAACTTCCCTAAATTAGGTTGCTGAATTAACATACCGTGGCATCGTCTGAACCAGAGGCAAAAGCATCTCCACTTGGGTAATATCTGTGCATGAGTAAAAAAAGACCAGAACACATTACATTACTTGGATGAGGTCAGACTTCAAAAATAGAACCAGCACATTGCTCAACATTGCAAATGTGTCCTCTCCCAGAAACATACTGACCTGACACTGTTGATATCTGAATCATGGGTTTCAAATGACTGGATGCACTGACCAGACCGCATATCCCAAACCATGGCTTTCTTGTCACATCCCTAATAAGACAAAAAAATTCACTACAGTTGTGCAAATGGTGACATTTACCCCTCATGTGCCTGATACACTTCATCAAGCCAGCTACATTCAAAGGCTCTGAACATCACAGCTCGGAGGGGATTTAACCAGCAAAGCAGCCCCAGAACTGGCTGTCCTGGTACCCCCAAGCCTGGTGCAGTTGCAGGTAGGAGCAGGGTATGCCATGAAGGCTGGAGCCTCAGCAGTGCCGCAGACCAGCACGGGCATAGCGCTGCCGTGCAGCACAGTGGGGTGCAGACAGGCCTGGGGTGTCTGCGCGGGCAGTCCCATACTAACCGGCACTCATAGCCCTGCTCTGCTTGTGCTGCTGCCGTACCTGTGTCTGCAGTCCCACCATGCCACAGAGCTGCATAACTGACTCATTCCCTTACCACTTAACATGCCCAATATAAAAAATTAATACGCAACATTTAAAGTTTTATAACTAATTCTTTTCATACACTGAAATAGAAAATAAGTGCCTCCAGTAGGTCTCTTGCCCAGCCTCCTACCAGAGTTAACCCCTGCCGTGGCTCTGCACCCACGTTCTCAATGGTGTCGTTGGGATGAGAAAAGAAGCACAACAGCATTTCGTCTCATTGTAAAGCTCTAACCTGCCCTTCCAAGCTGTGCTTTGAAAAGATCATTTAACACCCGGTGCTTGCTGTGAGGTGCTCAGCACCCTGAATGCTTTTGGGCAAAGGGCTCAGCCCGTGTAGTCTGCAACGGCCTCAGGGCAGGAACCATCTCATACGTGTAGGGCCATGCTCTCAGCTGCGATGTCTTGCTGCTGTCACAATCGCAGTGACAGGAAAAAGAACATGGACTTTTCTTTTAAGAGTGATGGGAGATTTTAATAAATATGATCCTGCTAAGGGGCAGGCCACAGGCAGGCTCAGCTCCGGGGGCTCAGCCTCTCTGAGGCTGCGTGGGAAGCACAGGGCAGGCCAGGCGGCTGCTGCTTCTGCCAAGCTAGTGCATCCTGCCCAGCAGACTGTGCCACACATGTTAGTTATTTTTAAGCAAATATGATTGCTAATTAAATTAAACAGCCTCTTCACAAGTCACATCTTTCTCGCTTTTTTTTTTAATTCTCTTGTTAAAATGAAATCCCATTTTCTTTACGAATGATGTCATTATTTAAAAGAGGTAATGTTCCTTTGTACCAACTTGTGGTTTCTGCGCGGGGGAAACCAAACAGGATAGAGAACATCTTGGACTCAGCATATTTCCCTCTCAAGCCCCACCACAGCCCAAGCCCAGCCCTTCATATTGCTTCCATGTGCACTGTTCTTACTGACCTCTCTGGGAGTTTGGGGGCAAGACCAATCTGACAAGCTGGTGCTTTGACTCCTAGCGTTTTGAAGGAGAAACCAGCAACCACCTGCGGAGAGATGGGCCCCCTGAGCGCTATCCAACTCGCCCCGAGGAGCAGTGCTCAGAGGGCACTGAGCACAACAGCCTGGGACACAGCCCTGAGCTCACCCAGGAGGGCTGGGATTTTCAGTGAAGTTGTTAAACATAACAGCACCCAGTCTGCACACTGATGTATTGGCATTGCTTATTCCAGCTCAAGGTTACTGTATTACATAGGCACAATATACAGGCAGTCTCTCTATGCTACCATACCTTCAGGTTGCACTGTTTTGGCTATACCTGCATCAACACGATATAAGACAGATCTTCACTGAAGTGGTATTTTGCATGTGATGAATTAAGCGAGTCCCTGTAAGGACAGACATACCCAAGCTGCTACATCGACACAAGTATGACATATTCTCTTAGCAGTACCATAGCTGCTTGCGATTCTTTGCCCTATAATAAGCTGAGCTGTTCCCAGGGAGAATGAATCTATCCTTTCTGGGAAGCAAGCTTGGTGACAGGAAAGCCCGGGAGGAGTAATGCACTCAGATGGAATTAGCTTTCAGTCACGCTTCAGAGCAGCTGTGCTAGCAGCAGGCAAACTGGGCCAGTGTGCTGAGCTCTGCTTCTGATGGGCCAGCCAAATCTGATAAAAGAGACATAACAGAAAAGGTCCAGGTTTGTTGTGTAGGAATGGGACCATGAGTCCGAGCACAACAAGTGGAATCCCCTAACCCATGGTTGGCACCCTCTGGCACAAGGGCCATTTCCATCAGCAAGCACAGGACAGCCCTAGGCCAGCACTAGTGGGGCTCAGAAACCAGCTACCTTCAGCAAAGTTACTGGTAGCAACCTGCCTCCAGTAAGAGAGGTCATCTCTCAGCTCCTGCCAGCTCTCACCTACGCACTCAACTTCTGATGTGGGAAAGACCAGGATCACCTCAAAAAGGAGCTGAGCCCCATCCCACTCACCTTTATGCCTTGCCTGCCTCACTGCCAGGCTGCATGCCAATGGCTCGGCTGTCTGGGAACAGCGATCCCTCAGCAGCAGGACAAGATTTGGAAGATGCCCTGGGTACTTTCCCAGACCAGTCCTGCAGCCCCAGCCAGGTTTGTGTGTTCCTCTGGGCCAGGACAGGGAACAGGCAGTGTTCGACTGATGAAGGGGCTTTAAATGCCTCTGGTACCACTGGAAGGCACAGGGGACTCAGCAACAGCTGAAGATGTGGCCACACCTCATCTCCCTGCTCCAACTTGTATGAGGGTTTAGCCAGCGTCCAAGCTACCCCTTGGCTTTTGGGGAGCGGCTGAGGGACATAGTGGCACGCAGGTTATTTGCAGCCCCACTTCAATGCCCTGAGCAGTCACCTGGCACATCCATCCAGCTCCAGAGAGCTGGGCACAAGAAAGGAGCCAAATGAATGAAGTCATCTGCTGTGCCGGGCTCCCATCCACAGGGGCTCACACCTCCGCTGCGGTACGAGCCCGCTGCTCTAACTCTGAGCCTTTCCCTTCCCGGGAGAGGCGTTGTTTTTGTCTCGGGCTGGATTGCTTTGGTGTGGGGTGGAATTTGCTAAGCAAGCAGAACTGCAGTCAGACTGGCTGGGTGGGTTTGACCCCACAGTCAGGGGTTTAATTTGCTCCAGCTTGGAAAATGTGCTTGCAATGAGTGGATTGCACTGGGGCTTCCAACACATACTCCAGCACTTTTCCCTTCCACATTCCTTAATTTTATATTATGATAGGAAGCTCCTGCTTACCCCAGAGACAAATGTATTTCCCGTTTCAGAAGGGGCCAGGTCCAGGCACAGGACATCAGCTCCATGACCATGGAAACTCTGTAGAAGCTGCCCACTCTCAACATCCCACAGGGCACAAGTTCCATCTCCACTTGCTGTCAGGATCTATAGGATGCGGCAAGACAAGTCACAACACAAAAATCAGCAGATGATCTTCAAGTTCACAAAGAAACAACTGACATCCTATACATACACCAAGGACAGCTTTAATTTAATGAATTATGCAATAAACCAAAGCCATAAAAACAACGTGAATCTAAGCACAGTTTATGTTTTTTACTTTTAAGAAAAGAAGTTAGAGTGGAAAGGAGAGCTGTATTGACACAGCTATACCTACAGTGTTTCAATAACGGTCAGTTTTGTGCAGTGGGGTTTGGAGAACTGATGGCAATAAGGATCTGCTGGCATTTCCATATCCTCCGAAAAGGAGGTAGAACCAGACTGGTATTCCTGTCTGCCCCTGTATTTAACCCTATCCATATTTAGGCTGCTGGAATTCAACACGGGTAAAGAGAAGAACTGTTGGAGTTAAGTATACTTGTTTAACTCTCTAAATTTTTTTTCTGCTTGAAATAGCCAGGTTAAACACAATTAATTGGGCTTAAGACATGGATTTTCTGAAAGGGAAGTAAGCCTGTCTAGACAGTTGTTTGGTAAGTCCATCACCTCTCACTTGTCCAAAACCATTTGTGTGTGAAAGGGCTTGAACGTACACTGACCGAACATAGCTCACAGCTTCCCTCATCTGCTACAGTGCTTGTACAAAGCACATGTGATCAGTGCTTGTTATTGTGGCTAAATCCTGGTGATGCTCAATTGTTCAAAGTTTCCCCTTGGCACCCAAAGCTGTTATGCAATCTCAGATTCTGTAGGGTGAAAGGGTCTCTGTGCACTGGCACGGAAGGAGGCAAGGGTGAATTTAGGAGGGCTCTCAGTCCTGAACACAGGTTTTTCTCATGGTTGGTGAGGAAACTCAAGGGATCCCAGTGGGTAGTTAGAAGTTAAAAAGAAAGCACTCTTCAAGAAGAAAATGATCACACAATCATTAAACCATTCACAGACTTGCATAAAGGTTAAACACTGAATATGTTTGACAGATGCTTCAAAAACTCCTCCCATAAACAGAGGCCTGCAAAGCTGCAGAACAGACTGTTCCGAATCCTGCAGTAGAGAGACGCTGGCACTCTGAGATGATAATAGCAGAAGAAAGTCCTGACTTGTCTTTCTGGCCAGCTTGTGAGACTAGATCAATGAACTTCTCTGTTTTGAGAAATATTTGTACTTGGCTGAGGAATGAAGACTTTCAGCTCTGAGGATTCGCTCTTGAAATAGCGTGTAAGAAAGATATGAGGGGAATAGGAATAGCTAAAGGTGTCTGTTGGCAACCCAGAGCTCCAGCTAATGCTTAAAGAGAAATGTTATGGACTCAACTTCAGGGTATTGCTATTGAAAACCAAACCAAACTCCAAAAATCCCAAACCAGAAGGGAATTAACAATCTTTGCTATTAGACTCCGGCTTGCTGCCCGAGGGGCTCTGGCAGCGCTGGATGGGGATCCTTGGTGCCTGGCGGCAAGAGGCAGCACTTGCACAGGGCAGGGCACAGCAGGGACACAGCCTCTGCTCGCCAGGGGCACAGGCACCGGGGCCGGGAGCAGCGGCGAGGGCAGAGGGGCCACCCTCACCTCTGCCTCCTTCGCCATCACCACAGGCCTCATCCTGCTTCTCAGCCCTGCCGCACCGGGAGTATGGCTGCCTGCCCTACGCAAAACACTTGAGATCCCAATTAACTGTTGCTATTAATACACACGGAGCATTGTCACGTGGGGAGCATTATCACATCGCAGAGCTGCAGATACTTAATTTAGGAAGTGAGGCTCCCCAGCTCTCAGGGGGAGGGAGGCTCTCTCTGGCAAGAGTGATTTGGGGCACTGAGAACAAGGTCCGCGGGTCGCCCAGCCCTGCAGCTCACCGCTTCTCTTGGCCCAGAGTGGGAACATGATGAGGAGCAAGGATGGGACCCCCTCTTTCAGCACCCACACAGCCTGAGAGTGGCTTTAATCAATGATGAACCACCCCCAGATCTCCTCTTTCCATTGCACTGCCAGATGCCCATGGGCACACCAACTCCTAAACTCCTACCCCGTCTTTCAATCCTCTGAGGGAAAACCAAGCTGTAGTTTAAGAGAGCAGCCAAGGCAGAGCAGCAGCATTCACAGCACCTAGCAGTGGGTGCTGGGTGCTGCGGGGGCACTGGGCTGGGGGACATCTCCACCATGCACTAGGGCTGCTCCAGGACAGGTACCACATCCCTCAGTGACGTGAGCCGGGAGAGCAGAGCTGCTCCGCACACAGCGGGGAAAGCTCCTGCACAGTGTGCTTGTTGCACTGTGCACCCTCAGAGTTACTGATTAATTTTAATTCTGAGGCCATTATGTAAACGGAAAAATATAAGAAATCTGGGATTCTCTAGGACCCCCTGCATAACAGTGGCCTAACAGAAGCTTGGCCAACCCACTTGCTTCTATTTGTTTCAATAATAACATACAGTGCTATAAATGATCACTTATGAGCCTATCAATCACAAGAAAATTTCTGTTTAAAGTCTTCAGAAAAATCTCTGAATCAGTGAATATAAAGCACCTAAAACCACCATGGTATTATTTAACAATAGTCATACATTACCTTCAATATCAATGCAGTTTGCTGTACTTAATATGGAGAAAAAAGACCAAACTTTTCTTTCTTTTTTTATTATGAAAAATAAATAACTATTTTTCCTTTCATAGGATTTAATCACGATGCATACAAGTATGGACAAGAAAAGTGAATACTGGTTTTCTCTCTCATCAAAAACATTCCACTTAATTTAGACTCCTCTAATTACGCAGGGCTCCTGCACAGTAAGGCCAGGGCTAAGCAAGCCTGGGTGCTGGGTACCTCCACCACTTGTTTCCATGGCAATGGACTTAAATTAGCCCCTCGGAGTCATTACAGAAACGATAGAATGACAAACAACAACACACTCTTGGGCATCTCATGGCCTGAAATAGAAGCAATGAGAGCTGATACTTCCTTCAGAAGAGCTCCAAATATCTGGAAGAAGGGGACACGGTACTCCTTTTCCAGCAGCTCCGCTGACACTGAGAGCAATGAAAATGCTCCCTTCTGCCACTTATTTTGCTGCAGAGCTGCACTGAGCAGAGCTTCAATTAAATTAAAAAAACAGAGAGGACAAGGGGATTAGCCTGGCTCCTTTCATCATCTTTCGTGTTCCTGGAGAAAGAGATCTTTGAGATATTCACTACAGAGGAAGGCTGACCCGGTCTCAGAAGATCTGCATTTAGTTCCTGGCTTTGCCATCATCTCCCACTGTGGCCCTCTGTGCTCCAAGCCCCCCACTGCGAGATGGGGATAGCATCACTCCTTTCCCTTGAGGGAACACACCACTGCACGTATGGACAACAGGGCTGGCCCTGAGGGACCATCCTCAAGCTCAAATATCTCACTTGGTACAAACAAAAAATACTAAGAATGAAAGCAAAAGCAAAGTTGGCTGGACATCCAGGACAAAGCAGGCAAACAACACAGTCTCCACCATCTGGCATAACACATACACAACCTAGTCCTATCTCAGATGGGTTTTTAACTATTTGTATTAGTTTGAGCTCCTAAAAGCACAGGCCAGCACAGACCCAGTGAGCAGAGAACACACAGGTACCAGCGAGCTCCCTCTGCAGAAGGGACAGGCCTTTGCAGGGTGCAGGCATGACAGCCTGGCCACAGGCTGTGACAAGCATTTCCTTACAGCAGCTTTTGCAGCGCCTTCCTCACCCCCAGCAAGTGTTTTCCAGCAGCCCCTGCATGGGGCAGGGCATGGCCCTGGGTGCCCCAGGTGCAAGGAAGGTTACTTGCACCACGTATGAGTGCAGCTCATGTTAGGCGTTGCTGGACGGTGAGCAGCGGGTAGGGAATGCATTTACCTGCATGTCTGAGTTAGTGAAGCTGCAGGCAGACAAGTAGTTTGTGTGCATTGCAACCGATTTCTTCTTTGCAGCCATATTTTCATTTTTGTCAAATGTCAGAGGGTACACAGAACACTTGTTGTCCAGGCCACTAAAGAGAGTAATAATAGCAATAACAGAGAGAGAACTGGTTAAAACTGCAACGACAAAAGGCAAGTGGTGATAAGAAGGAAACCACCTGTCAGTGCTGCGCTGCCAAACCCTTACAAGTACCGACTTCCCTGTATTGTGCTGTCCGGGATCTCCCTGTGCAGGGAAGCCCCAGCTGCCTCACCAGGCTGGCTGCTTTACAGAACTTGAACAGCTGCACCTCGGTATTTTTTACCCTCATCGAGTTTATAAATTGCACTGAATGAAACCTCACGAAAGTATAAACTGGGAGGTGACATAGCACTCACCTCAGGGTTAATGCTTCACATACATCCAAACTGCCATTTTTCTGTTGACATCCATCATTGCGAGGATCAGTATTTAAGCATCATTGTTTATCTACCTTAATAAATTTGGCCTAAGTTCTATGGAAGAAACAGTATAGCAAGTAGCGGGTGTGAAGACAGGGCTTTTAGAAGGGTTTGGGAAAAAGGCAACAGAAGCACTGACAGAGTTTGGAGAAAAGGCAACAGTAGCTGGTGTGTCCCTCCTGGACAGTTGCACCAGTTAAGCTGTGTCTCCCAGGGCAGATGTGGGGCTCTTTTCTAAAGGGTCTGACTTGTGTCTGAGCCTTTCCTAGAGCTGTGGTAGATCAGCCCTGCTGTCCCTGGGATCCCGACACACCACGAGGTGCTGGTTCTGTGCCTTACATTACGTGCACAGCACTTAACTGACAGCAAAACAGAAATACAGAATTAGGTAGTGCAATGCATATATGCCCTCCCTGTCTCTCTTACCAGTGTGAACACAGAGCTTTCTTGCCATTCTTCGAGTTCTAGTCAAAAACATACAGCTTCCAGACTCCCTCTCCACACATGGTTATGGAGTCTGCTGGTCTGTCTCAGTCCGCTGCTTTCTAGATTTGCAAGCTGCACCGTAAAGTCTCCCTTTGTTCCCTTCTCTCACCCCAAGCTTGCTCTGCCTGTCTGATCCACCCAGTCCCTTTTTAAAAGATGTTTTGCCAACATCTCATCTCTTTGTTTTTTCCCCTGCATAAACTCATTTTTTTCAAACCTGAGCCCTCAGAAAACTTGGAGAAGATAATCAAGGAGGGGGTTACTTCTCCCCACCCCGTCTTGGCAAGATCTATTCATGTGCTGGTAATCATTAATGACTAACCTTCTCCACATTGTAGAAGAAAGAGTGCAAAGTAAGAACAGGGTTAAAACCACTCTCCCTTAGAAGATATATCCAACACACACAACCAAACTGGAACAGGGAAGTTGCATACATGCAGAATTCCTAACCCACGATATAAATGCTGAAAGAGGATTATTTTCCACGCTTACACAACAAATGTTATTGCACTGAGATCAGTGGAGATAATGTGTACAAGCCATTATGGGAACAGAATCAGAGGCACTGAATGTAGTCCTTCCACCCACAATCAAGGCACGCAAACTTCTAGTTGTCAGCATCTGAAGGCACCAGGACACCATTACAAATCAAGCTTTTCTGTGTAAGCAGCTATGGAAACTGGGAACTTACCCACAAGCAATAGCACATCCAGATGGGGCATATGCACATGCCATCACCCAGGTACACGGCATCGTCACTGCATGTTCCTGAAACACAGCATCTCTTTAAACTGGGATGTCACTGTTTCTCTAATCGGTGCAAGGAAAACAATGTAGAGTGGTAAGTTCAGTATTTCTGTGGGACATCCTTGGGGTCAGTGAAAGGTACAGGTCTTTCCCCAGCCAAAGCTCACACGTAAGGCTGGGACAACCCTTCCTGCAGAACCCAGCAGAGCAGCAGGAGGATGGCCAGTGCCTCCCTAACACTTTCCACCTTATTCATGAGCCTCAAACTGATCGCAGAGCATGTTTTATTTGGGTTACTCAGCGCTGTAAAAGGTCCCCACTGCTGCACGTGTAAAAGTGAGTTACAAACAAGCTGTTTTTTCTCAGCTGTGTGAAGCAGGGTGCCGCAAGGCAGCCCTGGCAGGGCTTGGAGGAGCAGCAGCACCATTTCACAGTGAACACCACGGCTGAAGGATCCCGGGTGATCGCACATTGGCACCTGGTACAGGAGCTACCCAGTGAGGGCCTCTGTTTTGCTGGCTGGGCTTTGCCCCCAGCTGGGAGCCCTCCATGTCAGCAAAGAGGCTGGTCAGAGCCTCCCACTGGAGACCATGACAAACCGCAGTACCCTGACAGGGACTTTGCTCAGAGACAGGTCAAGGGAGGTGGTTTCTCCTGGGCCCCTTGGTTTGAGGTTCTGGTGGAGGTTTGCATGTTATCCCATCATCCCACTGCCTCCCGTGACACCTGTGAGCCCTCCAGCCCTCATCTTATCCCACTATCATTTGCCCTGTGCACAGAAATCTGACTTTTGCTGAAGTTTCACTTACCTTGTTGGTAGTGAAGGAATCCCACACGATCACCTTCCCATCCTAAATGAAAGAACACAAACAGAAAGAGAAATTGAGGCCTTCCAGAGACGTGGCTATCAGCCTACTTCCCAGATTTGGGGAAAACTCTGCTGCTCATTTCCATCCTCCAGTCTGTTATGTCATGAAATTTTTATCTCCATTTTAACAACAGCACAATGGTCACAGTGAAGCACCGAGGAGACACCCCTCAGTAGTCTAAGTTATGTCTTTGACCAGAAGAAAAGCATATCTCCTCCTCACTGAGATGACTGATGTCGGCTTAAAAGACCGATTTATTTTTTTTATTTTTCTCCCTTCCCTTTTAGCGGGTTTATGAGAACTCCTCTCACTTGCAGCACGTCATGGACAGGACCATCTCCTCATGAAATTGCCATTAGCAAGCCCTCAGTTACCTCCTTTCAGGATGTGTTTCTCCCAGCCCGTAATCACCACCTGCAAAGCTGGTCACCTCTCCCAAGTGATATCTGCCAGTGGCTCAGTATGGGGCCTTACAAATACAAGAGGTGACCTGTATTACAAATCACTTGCCGAGTTGGCAGCACTCAAGAGGACTATTTATGGACATCGCACTGTCTATTCATCTTCCATTTCCTGTCTTTTCCTGGTTTTCCCTTTACTTCTCACTACACTTACTTAACCTCCAATTAGCCATTGATACAATCTGCTAAATAGCCATCATAAGAACACTCCACAGAGAGCAACACAATCTCTTTGTGTATGCCAGCTACACTCATGCCAGCTACTTTGCCTTACGCACATAATATGGTTATCCTCCCTGTATCGTGAAACCTAAATGCTTATTACTGAGCAACAACTGTTGCTGTACCTGGACTCACTACAATTCTTAAAATAGAGTAAAAAATGCAAAAATGCATTACAACTTGCCTGTTCGGTTTTCTGGTCTACACACTGCCATTTAACCACTTTAAAAAACATGACATGAATTATTTAAAATTACTCTCTTTGCTGAGATCACCATGAATGGTAAAAACTCACAGTAACTGAAGGTGGCTTGCAATGCAGATTGCCTATTTTTATCCCTCAAGTGAGACCACTGACAGATTTCATATAGGTCAACGAACAGCTGTGAGATGCAACAAGCTCACTCACTGCCATACTGGGCTCAGGACGAACCAGGGGATCTAGAAAGTAATTATCTCATTACCTCCTCTGGCTCATGAGACTGGTATTGAGCAGGTGTTAGGACTGTTTCTCAAAATGCCCAAGTAAATGCAGTAATTTTGGCAGGATGTTTGAGGCTTTCAAGGTCGCACCAATCATATGGACTGCAGAAGAAATTTCTGTGCACAGAAATCTCTAGAAGAATCAACATATCTTCCCTTCCCTTTTCGTGATTATTTTCTCTGAACACATAAACTGAAATTGTTACTAAATATTTTATCTGTAAAGAACAAGGAAATGAAAGTGGCCTCAGATCAATTCTCTCTATTTTCTATGGTAGTAGGGAATATGGGGAAAATCTGTATATGACTGGACAAGAAATATTTAGGGTATTGGCTAAAAAAGCCGGAGCAATGTTTGAAAGACT